GAGAGATTGAGATGGGACTGAGTTGTGATTTTAGGTTTTAGGTTATGAGTTGCGATTACGGGATTTTGTCTTAATATTCGTTTTTGTAATTTGAAAATAAAATACGCGTAGCGATTATAATGGTGCTTTAAAAATCGCGTTGCGATTTACGGATACGCGTTGTGATTTTACGTATTGTCGTTGCGATTTACGGATACGCGTTGCGATATACGGATATGCATTGCGATTTACGGATACGCGTTGCGATTTACGGATACACGTTGCGATTTACGGATACGCGTTGCGATTTATGTGTTCGCGTTGCGATTTTCATATTCGCGTTGCGATTCTGGAAAATCGCAATGCGAATTTGTACTATCGCATTGCGATTTTCAAGAATCGCGTTGCGATTTTGGAAACTGATTTGCGATTCTGGGGATCGCGTTGCGATTTTTATTTCGCGTTGCGATTTTGTTGGTCATTTTGGCAAATCCAAAAAAAGTTGGTTAAAATCGTATATTATAAGGCATTTTTTGTCACTGAGGCGATTTTCTCTAAAATATATCATCGCTCCCAATATTTTTTTTAAAAGTTGAGATTTAGTCCTTGTATTTATAAAGCTAAAAGAATTCAACCCTTTTAATTTTAATTCAGTTCGATCATGTGTAAATGTCTTCTATATAGTTCAAGTTCAAATTTATGTTTTCTTTTTTTTAGATAGATTCATTACTTTATTATCAGAGAGAGCAATGCTCACGCTAGAAATCGGACAGAACAACAAAAACAACCCCTCTCCTTAAAAGGAAAATGAATGCCCCAAGTTGCGCAAAGAAAACTATTGACCACATCCCAGCTAAAGATGGACATGGGACCCGAACCGATGGATATCGACCCGATTTGATCGGGTTAATTTTTTTAAAATATTTTGAGTTCGAGTCGGGTCAGATCTTTATTTGATCTTAAATTGTTAATTTTATCCAAATACAGGGATTAATGGCATATTTTGCCGCGAATCTTATGAGGAAGCCTTCGGTATGCTTTCCTTATATTTAATTTATTTATCTTTTGATTTCTCCGTCTTTCAGTAGTTATTTTTAGCCAATATCGATGCATGGTTAGTATAATAGTATTTGTGTAATCGATGTAAAACATTTGGATAAATCACAAATTTCATCATTGAACTTTGTTCTCTCCGCTATTTTACTTACTGAACTTTAAAAGTTTTCATTTTTCTTACTTAACTTATTAATTGGGATATTTTGGTCAGTGAACTTTACTCTCTCTCCTATTTTGATCACTCCATCGTTAAATAGTTAACGTTATTAAAAATGATGCCATTTTTAAAAAATAAAATTTTCATTAAAAAGATATAATTTTACATTTATATAACAACTCATTATATCGCTTTTAACCATTTAACAACTGTGTGAATAAAAAAACTCAATGCATTAAGTTTAGTGAGGGAATTGAAAAGATTTAAAGTACACTGAGTGAAATAGGAGAAAGAGTAAAATTCAGTTACTAAATTTTTAATTTACCCAAAATAGTTTTGAGAAAACAGAAAAGATTTTTTATTATAGTGAAACATATATCGAGGCTGTTGATTGCCCGTCCAGCTCAGTTGGTAGAGCGTAAGGGTCCTAACCTTGTGGTCGTGGGATCGAGTCCCACGGTGGGCAATTCATAATTCTGACTGCCGGAGGTCTTCCACGGAAGCTGCTCTCAACCTGGCATTGGGAGCAACCTACTACCTTACCTCCCCCTCACCCCATTATATATGGGAATAGGGTCAGCTAATTTTATATATCGAGGCTGTTGTTAGTAATCGAGTCCACTCAATGTAAAATAAATTTAAATAAAAAACCCGACGATTTTTAGGCTAAACTATAAATTTGATATATTTTGTTTTGGTTTTATTCAATGTTGATAATTGAATTTGAATAAGTTATGTTTCAGTCATTTATGTAATAAATTTGTTATATTTTAATCATTGAATCGTTTATTTTTGTTGATCAATTGATGATATGACAGGTTAGTAAAAACATATAAATATTCATTTAATAATTAAACTCTCTCAAATTTTCTTTTAACTTGTATTATCCATGTTCATTGTTTGTATTAAAACGGACCGAAATTGATAGTTTAGAGACTAAACATGTTAAGTTTTTAATGACGAGGTACTAAAATGAAACAAAAAATAAACGTTATATATGATTTTAAAAAAAATTAAAAATATAAATATTAAAACAGATCAAAACTACTAATTTAGATATTAAATACTTAGTTACCCTAAAATATATCACCAGAACTTATCCATCTTTTACTTTTTCTTTTATTTTGATCGCCTTTTGGATTAGTGATGAAAAAGTAAGAGTTTAAGGAAAGTCACCTTAATTTAAGGATATGAGAAACATGATTGTAAATTTTATAAAAAAATATAGGCTTAAATGTTATTGTTGTCATTGTAGTAAATTCAATTTATTATTTTCACCTCTATCATTTTTTTTATCAATTTAGTTATCGAAGTCCGTTTTGAGACCAGCTAAATTTTTTATCATTTTTTTCATCCTAGCCCTCAAAGTCCGTTTTGACTAACAAAATCATTAGTCTTCTGTATTTTTCAACACCATCAATTTTCAGATCAGCTAAATATTACTGATATGGCTTGATGATGATGTGACATTTATTAAATAAATAAAATATTTAAAATATTTACTAAATACAACGGTTAGAAAAAAATCCTCAAAAGTTTGACCTAATCTTTTAATCTCACCGAAATAAATAATAAAATTTTGAGAATTTGTTTTAACCAGTGTGTTTAATAAATATTTTAACTTAATCTCTTAATCCACATACGCAGAAGACTCATAATTTTGTTAGTAAAAAATAGTCAACGAACTTCGACGGTTAGGATGAACACCGTAAATAACTTCGAGGACTAAATTGATATAAAAAACAACATGAGCAAAAATGATAACTTGGGTTTATTACAGGGGCAACAGTGACTCATAAACCAAAATTATAACATTTTTAGTTGGATACAACATAAAATGTTAATTTTTTCTTAATATTTTTTCAGTTGAACATCTTCTTTATAATATTTTGGTTGGCAACCGAGAATGTTATCTTCTGCGTAATATTTTTTTGTTTAACCGAAAATGTTAGAAAGTTAATATTTTAAGTTATGTTCAACCGAAAATGTTATGATTTTTATAACAATTTTGGTAGCACCCATTTCTTACCGCTCTTTAACTTTAAATTAGGTCGTTGTAGGACAAAACTACCTTAAAAAAAGTTGGATGGTTTTCTCTTGTGTTTCTCTCCCCAAAATTTTTGGTTTAATAATAATTTAGGTCCTTATCAGTTTAAATTTAAATAAAATTAGGCTTTTCCCCTCTCGATTTTTTAGATTAAATACATAATAAGTTCTTATAATTTTGAAACTAAATACCTTGCCCTTCCTAATATTTGATCCCAGCTCCATCCTGATCTGGATCTGGTTAAAATGCAATTGAGGATTAGGCTGCTGCTTGCTGCTTGCTGCTTGCTGCCTTCTTCTTGCTTGCAAGTTCAAGCTCTTGTTTTCTATTGCTTCCATTAAAGATGACCAAATATGAGAGGATCTTTAATATTTTTAAATAATATTATGTCTTCTTCCCTGAAATTACCCATTCGCCGATTGTTTTAGTCTCTAAATTAAAGGTTCTTTTAGACCATTTATCACTTAAATTATCTTACCTAGTTTCACTATTAGACGAGTTAGATTTTTTTAAAAAGATAATCTTTATAATTTATATTCACGATTATTTTCTTAAATTATCAGTTAAAATTTTACTTTATTCGAAGGCTGTATTCCACAACACCATCTGCGTGTGCTAGCTTCCATGTATTCTTATATCTTTGCTCTTCAATGGCATCGAGTATTTTCATAATACGGTTTGGCTAATGGAAGTTTCACCAATGGCGGACATTATAGGTAAATCGTTTAACGAGTACCGGTAACGGTCGTGTTTCCGATCACGGTTTTGACCCACTTACCTGAAACAGGTGACAACACTGGTCTACCGAGGCCACCAGCATTCATGGATCCATCATTGACTGAGGATGTGATATTGGAAAATGGTATCAATTATGCCTCTCTAGTTGGTACTTGGTATGATTTTGAATGAAACAGGAGGTTAATTTGCAACTGTTTCTCGCTCTCTTTGTTCCTATCGAAAAATCGATCTCGTGCCGGATCGTAAAGCCGATGTATATAACCCTGTTTCAGACTCAGAGCTTCTCTCTTTGGAAGCAAATCAAGTTATTCCAGGGGACCAAGGAATTGATTAGCCAGCAATCGGCCGATGAGTTCTTTATCGGCGCTAACTTCGTCGTTGCTTTAACAACTACTTGATGCCGGTTTATTGTGATTCCTGGAAATATGATGATCAAACATTTGTTCAATACTTAATGGGAACACTTGAGAAACTAACTCCTGGTGAATTGATTACTGATCAAACATTGTTTTTCTTCGGTCCATTATCGACTATAATGCAGATTGAATCTCGATATTTCTTTTTCGAAGATGTTGCATAACTTGGGAGCACGGAAGTTAATGGTGTCCGGACTCCGACCGACGGGTTGCATACCACTGCAGAGGGTGTTAAGTACATCGGGACAATGCTCTCAGTTTCAACAAAGCCGCTAGCCAATTATTGAGCAACATGGAAAGTAGACTTCCCGGTGCTAACTTTAAGTTCGAAGATGCTTAAAACTAACAACTTTAACTTCACGGCAAAGGTAAACATGCATATTTTCACAAGGTTTAGTAATGCCGATTCGCGGTGTTGTTCGTTGGGAAGAATGCGACCGGCTCACATGCTTGCTGGCGCATCGACGTTGTGTTCGGATCGAAGCAAGTAGTAGAATCTGCCATTGCTCCATCTCCGGATGAAGAATAATATATGTACAATTCCCTCACCACAACTATTTGCTAAAAAAATTCAGCTTGCTTGAACATCTTTGATGAGCTGGTGTAATGTAAAAATTATTTTAAAAGAATTAACAATTCTCACCTGCTTTAGCATGAATGATCCATTTGAATTCTCCTAAACTTTATTTTCTCTAATGATAATACTGGAAATTGAAGCAAATTAAGTAACATCCAACTTGTTATGGGCCCAGTGCCACCATTGAAGACTGGTTTCGTCTTCATCAACAGGAGCCGGCAGATTAAGATCAAGAAACTCTGGGATTTCATGGATTTTGGGGCTTGCATCAGTGAGTAAATGGGATCTCTTGTGACCACCCAATGCCTGTCCCGATGTGAATACTTTGAAACAAATGGGACATTCATGCCTTGTCTCGTCTTCCTCCACAAGCTTTCTAGTACTATTTTCAGTACAGCCGCCATTGATTCTCTTGTGGCTGGCTCTATGGCCTCCCAGTGCTTGGTGAGACACAAAATCTTTGTTACAACCACTGCATTGGAACTTTCTTTTGCTTGATTCTGTCTTCTTCAAACTATTTGCACAGGTTTCATCCAAGGCAGCCCATTGACCCGTACCTCTGGAAAGCATCATTAAGCTCAAAGCAACCTCTTGTTGTTGTTCCTGCTCGATCTCGGACATGGAAGATGGATTTGCAGGGACAACCTCGTTGTACCTTCTTGTTGTTCTTCTTCTAATTTTGGTTTCGGATCTAAAACCAGAATTGTCTGGTGAATAACACTTGATGTGACCAAACAATGATAATCTACTCCATTTCTTCTTGGGTTTCTGTCTGAGAATATAGCCGCCACTGACATCTGGTTCAAGCTTCTTCTTCTTGTTGATGAATTTCTCGTCTGTTTCAGCTGAATTGTTCATGTGAGACCTCATGTGACCACCTAAAGATCTACCGCAAGGGAAGCTTTTCGGACACATCTTACAAACATACTTGAATCCATTACCTTCTTCCATTTGTAAAACAAATTCAACAACTCAGATCAGAACAAAAAACAAAACAAAACAGGAAACTTTACAAAATCTGGTGGAACAACCGTCAAACAATGCTTCTATTTCTCGATCTAATCAGTCATTAAAGAAACAGCAAAAACACAGATCAAAACATGTTTGAAAAACAATGGATATTGCTGAGAATTCAATAGAATTATGTGGAAAAACCAAGATCTGGTGAACTCTAACTTGATCGAAGTATGAACTATAGCTTAAGTAAGGAGAAAAAGATCAAAACTTTGAAGGAATGGGGGAATTCTTTTGCTTGTTTTTTGTTTAACAGATGGCGATGAACAAAGGGAAATCACAGTTTTTTTAATTTAAAGAATTTTCTGGGAATTTGGAATTTGGATCATATTTGGGAGGAGAAGTCCATGCAAAGAAGCAAAGATGAAAACGAGGTGATGGAGAAGATAGGCAGCACACGTGGACTTAACCGAGAATCCTACGCCATCTTCATAAAATATCAATGGCTGTGATTTGTCCAGTTCAGCATCTGTATTTTTTGAAAAAATAAATAAAAATAAACACCCAACTGCCCTTAACTATTCTTTCCTTTGTCCTACTAGTAAGGAATAGCCATTGGCCAGTCCCCACCCTTTTGAGTTAATTGTTTTGGAGTTCCTAAACTATAACTTCTTTTTAATTCAGTTCTTAAACTTTAATATATTTTATATCAATCCCTAAACTATCTTCTTCATTCTAAATTGGTCTCTGAACTTTGAAACATTCTATATTATTCTTCAAACTATCGGTATCATTTCATTTCAAGTATTTCATGAACATATTGTTAACTCTATTGGTTAAAAAAGTAATCTATGTTTGAAGGTCATAATTTTTTTAGAAGGTCACACGTCCAAATCCTAGTACATGCAGAAACAAATTAAAAAATTTTAATCAATAAAATTAATAAAATTTTAACAGAATGATCAAAATAAAATAATATTGATAGTTTGAAGATTGACATAAAACGCTTTAAGGCTTAAGAAACAATTTAGAAGAGATGTTATAGTCCGAAGATTGATATAAAATATGTTAAAGTTTATAAAACAACTAAAGTGAGAGTCATAATTTAAAGACATCTTATATAATTATTTTTCCTTAAAAAAATCATCTCTTATACACATTGAGTTACTTCAGTGATAAAAGAAAATGTTATTTTTCCTAAACGATTTAGGTTCGAACAGTTGCATCTGCAGGGTGTGTATGTTGTCAATTGACTAAGAAAAAATTCAAGTACTCGTCATATTCACACATTTAATATTTTATTAGTATCATGGTCGTGATTAGGGATGGACATTTGACTCTCACCCCACGAGCTTCAACTTAATCATGTAGGGTCTTTTTTTTTATTAAATATTCGGATTCAGATCATGTCCAGTTTTTCGAGTTATACAATAGGATTGGGTTAAGTTTAAGTGAAATATACACAACCCAAGAAAATAATATAATTATCTATTAAATATTTAAGGATAGTACTCTTCTCTCAATATTTTTTTGATTAAATCATTATTTTTCCTAATAAATATATTTGTATCGGATGATTGCATATTGAATGTAAGTTTTCTACTTTAAAAATCAAATCGAATTTTAAATAAAATAATATAATACTCGAATCAAATTTAAATAAATAAAAAACTCGACCACAACCCAATCATATCTCTCTCTTATCATGACTAATATTACTAGTTAGTGGATATAGGTAAGCTTGTAATGCAAGACTAGAAGTGGATAAACAAACAAGTGTTGGGGGCAGCTTATTCAGCAAGAAAATAATTTTGGATTGGGCTGGTAATTTCGTTGAAACATCTCAATCTTCCATCCTCCATTTACTAAACTCTTTCACTATGTTGTTGTCCTGACGTAAAATAATATTTTGGTATGTGTCCCAAATCCATATATTAAGTTTATTATTTTTATTAAACTAAAGTGATTAAAGAGTAGTATCTGTTCTAAATATTTTTCAATAATTTGACAATGAACGTTCAATCATCCTGTTGTAACTGTCGGTGTTCAAACTCGTGACCTCTAAAAGCAACAACGATTTCTTTGACCACTAGGTAAGTTAGTTCATGATTTTTTTATTAAGCTAAAGTGTTTAGAGAGTAGTATATATTCTAAATATTTTCAATAGTTTGACAATGAACGTTCAATCATCATATTGTAATTGTCGATACCCTTGACCTCTAAAAACAATAACGATTTCTTTGACCACTGAAATAAGTTAGTTCGTGCTTATATTATATTTATGTTATGTTTTTGCGTCATATTTTATAAAAGTTTAATCATATCTACAAATCATAATCATGAGTTCAGAGCTTTTGCTAAAGTAATAGATTCTTGAGAAGCCACCTTACGGGGAAAAACAAAGGATTTGGATGTTAGCTTATGTTTTTTTCTTTCACTATTAAAAAATGGTTGTCTTTGTTTTCATATGTAATGGGGTAAGGGGATGTAAGATAATAGGCTGCGTCCAACACTAAATTGAGAATAGTTTCGGAGACCTCCAAATTATGAAATGCCCTCCATAAGACTTGAACTCACGACCTCAAAGTTAAGAACCTTGTGCTCTACCAACCGAGCTGGATGGTCCTGCCGGCCTTGTCTTCAATTTTCCAACAAGACCAAACTGTTAGTGATGGTTCTGCTGGCCTTGTCTTCCCCTATATAACAGAGATTGAGCATTAAACTCAAATTTATTATATGAACTAATTGAGCAAAGTTTTGAGTTACAAAAACTGGTTGTTATTTGCACTAATTGCAATACGAACAGATATGTAGATATTGAAATTTCAACTTTAAATTTGTTGAATATCATATTCTGAATATTTGTAACACCCCAAATTGATACGGGTGATCCGATTCGATCCGAGGTGTCACATAATGACCATCGGAATGACCCAAAACAAAAATACTAGAAAAATTAAAACTTTTCTTAAACCCTTTAAAAATCGTAAAATAATTTATAAATAAAAAAACAATTTCGAAAAATCCATCATATATTAAAATAGAATGCCAATAATGTCATGCACCAAAACAAGTTACAGACTCAATATGGAAATAATTGCGACCTCCATGCCCCCAGTTACACTTGAGTCGTATTATGCACGCAACGTCGAAGGAATTCCCATTAGTGATGTCAACAACTGCACATAATAGTTTCTTTAACCTGAAATTGTAAGTAACAAAGTGAGTTTTGGTAAGTTTAATAATACAATGCTACCAAATGATGCTAAAAGACAAGAAGATAGATGGTGAAGCATGAAAACTTCCTTAGTTCTCTAGGCATATTCAAATTTTAGTGATAACTTGAGGTTTAGTAATTATTTCTTGAGGAAGCAGCCAGGAAACAACCAATTCAGAAGAATATTCAGAGATGCAGATTCAGAAAATAAAGTTGGGAAGGCTAATGTGTTCCATCAAAACCAGAAATAGTAGTTTATCCAGTGAAATAATTTTTTTTTATAAAAAAATAATGATACCCTCCACCCATACTCCATATGCAGTTCCCCATAACTGCATCCATAAGTACTTACCCTAAGCCCATTAGGCGTAGAAACCAACTTAAGGGAATACTTTGAGGCCTGTGGGCCTACCTAAGAATCACCTTAGGTCCTAAGGAATTACCAGTTTAATCAGAGATGAAGATTCGTACTTCAGAATCCTACTCTAATAAATATCAGATTGAGCAATGAATCATAATATCATAATTTTAGTCCAGTAGAATATCATAAAAGTGACGATGAAGTTAATTTAAATCACATGATGGAAATCAAAGGACATGTATCAAGTAAACAAAGTTTGGAAATCAGTAAATCACATATCAGAATTTCCATCATATAATTCTTTCATAAATCAGAACAAATAAAACAAACATGTTTTAGAGTGTATAAAATAGTCATATATCATGCAAGAAACACACTAGAAAATCCAATTATTATTCAAAGGGACTTGATAGTTGTCCAGAAAAGATAACATGGTACTTCGTTGATTTATCAGATTTCAGGTACATGATCCTTATTAGAATGGTTCAAATATTAACAGATCTAATCAAACATTTAGGAACTAATATTTCAGGACTACTCAAAATTTGGGTACATTTGGAAGTCGTTCATGAACCTTCACATCATATTCATTTCAGATTCAGATATAACAAGCATGATTCCATCATTCAGGCTATTAGGGGGATTTCAGATATTTGAATTCATGGAGAATTTTTTAGTAAATTAATTCAATAAGGGTGAAAATTGATTTACATTGTTCAAGATTCATGTTGATTTATCATGATATCGTTTCAACTTAAAATGAACAAATCTCAACTCTACGATACTCGTCAATCATTCGAATCAAGATACTTTACGAATATTTACTTCTTAATAATAACGACACTAATTGAATTGATCCCCTTCAAAGTCATCGTTGAATGAATCTTCATGAACTAAATTAGCATTTTGGTGATATTTATATTATTCTGCATTGCAATAATACCTGAGTGACCAATGCGCTTGGGTCACCTCTATATCTTTTAGGAGTTGTACAACATTTAGGTTTATCAGTTTTTTTATAATTTATTCCAACAACATCCACTTATTTTCATGTCATTAGGTATTTAAGTCAGTTCAATACTCGAGAGCATTTTAATCCTTTTATTTGATTCAATATTTTACTATAATTAAATCATTTCAAATAACTCAAATGAAGAGGGTGTTTTTGGTAATTTAGTCTCCAGGTGATGACTCAGGAACCAGAAATTCTAGGTTTTTTCCCATTTCAAAGATATATTAATTCATTTCATGAAATTCTATCATATGAATTACTTCTAATAAATTAGTCTTCATGAGTTTATGCAAGAATTATAATTTCTCAATCTTTTGCTATCTCAGAGGTTATAGTTGGTTATCTGGGTTTTCCAAGAAAAACAAGCATTTAATACGTGGAACACAGTTTTATCGAGTCAAGTATAACTTTGAGAGTTATTTATCACTTTCAAGAATAATCCTGGTCTTTTATAATACAAGGGTATTTTCATAATTTTATGGTATATGGGTATTTTTGTAATTTCTTATCCAAATATTTTCCGACATCATAATTATAACGATAATATTCAAAATTTAAAAATTATAAGGCTAATTCCTTTGTCGAATAATCACTAACCTTAATTACTTCCATTCAGTCTTTCAGTTTTCTTGTACGGTTCAATCGAGTCTTAACTAGTTTACTATTT